ATTCGGGGGGACGGCGAGGGGACGGGAGGGGAGGGAGGAGGGGTAAGGGGAAGGGAAGGGAGGGGAGGGGAGGGGAGGGGAGGGGAGGGGACGGGAGGGGAGGGGAGGGGTGAGGGGAGGGGAGAGGTAAGGGGAGGGGAGAAGAGGAAGAAGGATAAAAAAAAAACACAAAAAGAAAGGGAGAAACACAGAGGGAATGGGAGAAAGAAGGGAACTGAAGGGAGTAAACGGAACGAAAGGGACGAAATGAGAGAAAACGGAAAGAGAAAAGGAAGTAAGCTGAGGTGGTAAGGGAAAGGACAGGAAAGGGTGAGAGAACTAAGGAAGAAGAAGGAAGGAGAGTAAAGATACAAGAAGGAAGAGTGAAAAGCAGACAGTGGGAAAAAAAACGACAATAAAGAAAAAAGAAGGAATGGGGAAAAAAGAATGAAAAAGCAGTAGTATAAGCAAGAGAAAAAAAACGAATCCGTAAGAGAATAAGGGAGAGAAGAGGGGAAGAGAGAGAGGAAGAGAGGCACAGGAGGTGAAATGACCTCTGGCCCTTCGCGGTGACCTCAGAGAGCGCTCACTGCGGAGGAATGACACGCTGACGGACGGGAGGGACGGCTGGTTGCTAAGGCCTCGCTCGCTCGCTGAACAGGTGTGGGAGGGAGGGGGAGGGGAAAGAGCAGGGAGGGAGAGGGGGGGAAGAGGAGGGAGGGAGAGGGGAATGAGGAGGGAGGGAGAGAGGGGAGGGATGAGAGGTAGAGGAAGAGGGAGGGAGGGAGAGGGGAAAGAGGAGGGAGGGAGAGGAAGGAGAGAGGAAGTGAGGAAGGGATGAGAGGGATGGAAGGCTGAGAGAGAGGTAGGGAGAGAGCAGAGAGTGAGGGGGAGGTAAGGGAGGGGAGGGGAGGGGAGGGAGAGGAGAAAGGAAGGGAAGAGAGGGAGAAGTGAGTGGGAAGGGAGATAGGAGGGGAGAGAAGAGAGGGATAGGAAGGAGGAAGAGGGAAGAGTAGAGAGGTGAGAGAGGGAGGGAGGGAGGGAGGGAGGGAGGGAGGGAGGGAGGGAGGGAGGAGGAGGGAGGAAGGAAGGGAGAGGAGAGAGAGGTAGAGAGAAAGGGAGGCGGGAAGAGTGGAGAGGGGGAGAAGGGGGAAGAAGTTAGGAGGAGGAGAGGAAAGGTTGTGGAGACGAAGGAGAGAGGGAAAAGAGGGTGAAGGATTATGCGGAGTGGGAAGAGAGAGAGCGGGACGACAGAAAGAAGGATAGACAGGAGAGAGAAAACATGGGAGTTGGAAGGGAGGGAGGGCGAGAGAAGAGAAAGAGAGCAGGAAGAGGATCATAAAAGAAGGGAGGAAGGATGACAGAAAGGAAAATAAAAGGAGAAGAGGATGCATGGCGGGGGAAGCGAGGGGAAAAGAAGAGAGGGAAGGGAGAAACAGAAGGAGAGGAAAATGGAATGCAGAAAGGAAGGAGAAAAAGAGAAGACTACAGGGAAAAAGAGCAGGAGAGGACTCAAAACGGACATGCAAATAAGGAAGGGGAAGGGGAAAAGGTGGATGAGAGAGGAACTAAATGGAAGAAAGAATAGGGTGTGAAAAGAAGAGACAGCAGGAAAATACAAGGACGTCAATTTGATAAATGGGTATAAAAAGGGCAACATAATATTAAAAGGAACACTCAAGAAAGACAAAGCTTGAATAAAAAGACTATGCAAAGGAAGGGGAGAGGAAGAAGGGAAAAGGGGGAGAAGGAAGGGAAAAGAGGGAAGGAAGAAGGGGAAAGGAGGAGAAGTAAGAAGGGGAGAGGAGGAGAAGGAAAGAAGGGGGAGGAGGAGAAGGAAGAATGGGAGAGGAGGAGGAGAAGGAAGAAGGGGAGAGGAGGAGGAGAAGGAAGAAGGGGAGAGGAGGAGGAGAAGGAAGATGGGGAGAGGAGGAGGAGAAGGAAGATGGGGAGAGGGGGAGAAGGAAGGAGAAAAAAGGAAGGAAGAAGGAAGATCAGTCGGAAGGAATGAAGAAGGTAAGAAGCTCTAGCGAGAAGGAAGAGAGGGGAGAAAAGAAGAAAAGAAGGAGGGAGGGAGGGAGGGAGGGAAGGAAGGAAAGAGGGAGGGAGGGAGGGAGGGAGGGAGGGAGAGAGATAGGGAAGAAGGGAGGGAGGGAGGGAGGGAGGGAGGGAGAGAGATAGGGAGGAAGGGAGGGAGGGAGGGAGGGAGGGAGGGAGGGAGGGAGGGAGGGACGGAGGGAAGTCCTGGAACATGTCACATTCCCTCTCTTGCACTTTTTTCTTGAAACATACGACTCCTTCACCGAGAGTTTTCACGCGAGAGGCGACGGGGAGACCTGAGTTACGGGATGAGACGAGAGGGGAGGGAGGGGAAGAAGGGAGGGAGAGGAGAAAGGGCGAGAGGAAGAGGGGAAAGGAGAGGGAGTAGGAGGCAGAAGGGATGAGAGGGCGTGGAAGGGAGGAGGGTAGGGAAAAAGATAAAAGAGGCTAAAAAGAAAAGGAGAGATGAGAAAAATAGGGGCAAAAATATGTATACTTTAGAAATATACTACATATACTATATATCTGTATACACACGCGTATCACACAGCACAAACTAAATAAGCTATGCATATGACAAAGCAGCGTCCCGAAGACTATAAGCCAAGTACACGCGGGGCGGGGGGGGGGGGGGGGCGAAAGCAAGACGGAATGCGCGGGCGACGCGAGAGGAAAGCAATTCAAACTTTGTCTCCATCTCGGCCAGAGGAGGAGGAGAGCCCCCCCCCCCCCCCCGCTGCCGCTTCCAGACACGGCGTTGGCGGCTCTGTATTACCTTGAAGAGTCTAGACCCAAGGTTCTCCGCTCGTTATCGCTATTATCGCGCGCTGGTGTTTCGGGTATCTCATTTTAAGCCGAGCTCGCAAAACTTTCCAACCAATAGGTGTAAAAAGAGGGAAAACCTCCGCTGAGCTTGTTTGTTACGCGAACGAGTGAAGACTTGGTGCTCAACTCCCTCATCCTTTTCTAACCCGGAAAAATATATATAACCCAATTAGCGTAACTTTCCCCGGATCAAGAACCCTCACTCGAGACGGTCGTCAACGCCTCCTGCGGCGCCCTTGTCGCGTCCCAAGCTATGCTTTTCTCATTGCCATTGCATGTTATGCACCCAAACTAATCTCGCTTACCTGGGGCAATTGTTAACCATTTGCAAAACTTCGTTCGCTATTGATGAAATAATTTAACATTTGGCAATTAAGGCAAGTCACAAGGGTGAAAACAAAATGAAAATCCGAATTCCCACAAGGCAGGTGGAAGGCGCAACCGCTGACCACCTCCCGGAAGGAGGACGGGCATCGGTCCTCGGCGGGCGCGGCCGAGGGACGGCAGTCGTCGCCGGGGTTTTCAGGGCCGCCCTTGCCTAGAAGCTTTCATTCGGATTTTGCGCTGCACTCTACGAGATTCTTTTGAGGCAGGCAGAAAAGCAAAATTAAAACATAACAGACACAATGAAAAAGAGCAAGACGAAGGAAACACACATTCAGTAAAGACGCACACACACGCGCGCGCGCGCGCGCCCAGAGAGAGAGAGAGAGAGAGAGAGAGAGAGAGAGAGAGAGAGAGAGAGAGAGAGAGAGAGAGAGAGAGAGAGAGAGAGAGAGAGAGAGAGAGAAACACAAGCATAGCCAAACCCCTAAAGACAGAAAGACAAACAAGAACACGACCTCCCCCCCCCCGTGCATGAGGCATCGACAAAGGGGGGGGGGGTCGCCGCCGAGAACGAGCCGAGCCGAAGATTCACGTCATGTTTTAATTCTTTTACTTGACGTTCGCTTTTTACGGCGGTTTTTATGAGCAGCGTCGGGCCGTAAAGGGCGGACGTCTAGCTACTTTTCTCCCTTCTCTTCCTCCTCCTTTTCTATTGAGTTTATATCATTTTCTTCTGTCGCCTTCTTCTCCTCTTCCACTTTCATATTTCTATGTCGTCATAATCCACTTCTCTTTTTTTTTCTATCCATCTTTTTACTTTCCCCTTCCCTTTTCTTCTTATTCTTACTTTTGCTTCTCATTCCTCCTTTTCCCCGTTCTTCCTCCATCTTATCTTCCCCTATTCCGTCTCGGCTGAGTCGCTGAGTCTCCTCTTTTCACAAAGTCTTCGAACGGAATTTCTTCTTCAAAGCTTTCGTTTCCATTTCTATTTGTCCTTTTTTTTCGTTCTTTTATTCTTTTCTTTATTCATATTCTTTCACTTCCACAGATCAACATGTCTGTCAGATTCACTTTCGGCTTTTTATCTTCACTGCTAACGTAAGAGCTTGAGAGAATATTGTAATAAGAAGATATTAATGAAAAAAATATGAATGTTAAATAAAGGAAATAAAAGTACAAGCAATAACACAAATAACAACTGATTAATTATGGATGTATAAAATACCGAAAATGTGACCTAGCATCTGGCCTAACTCTCTAACGTTTTCCAGGAGCAATATAACAAACAAACAAACATACATCCTTTTCGGTCATTCCAAAATCGAAAGCGAAAAGAGCAAACCCGCCACCTTCGGCCTTTTTTCGTATGACCTTAGGAACCCCCCCCTCCCCCTCCCCCTGCCCCTGCCCCTTTGCCTCTACCTCTCCACCCTTCGTCCTTCCTTGGCCTGCCACTCCGTCTAGCTCTTCCTGGCCCTTCGCCCCTCCCCTGTCCCCCTGCCCCTCACCTGCCTCTTCGCCTCCCCGCCTGCCCCTCACCTACCCCTTCGCTTCCCCCCCTGCCCCTCACCTGCCTCTTCGCCTCCCCGCCTGCCCCTCACCTACCCCTTCGCTTCCCCCCCTGCCCCTCACGGGAAGAGAGAAAAGGAAGAGAGAAAAGGAAGAGAGAAAAGGAAGAGAGAAAAGGAAGAGAGAAAAGGAAGAGAGAAAAGGAAGAGAGAAAAGGAAGAGAGAAAAGGAAGAGAGAAAAGGAAGAGAGAAAAGGAAGAGAGAAAAGGAAGAGAGAAAAGGAAGAGAGAAAAGGAAGAGAGAAAAGGAAGAGAGAAAAGGAAGAGAGAAAAGGAAGAGAGAAAAGGAAGAGAGAAAAGGAAGAGAGAAAAGGAAGAGAGAAAAGGAAGAGAGAAAAGGAAGAGAGAAAAGGAAGAGAGAAAAGGAAGAGAGAAAAGGAAGAGAGAAAAGGAAGAGAGAAAAGGAAGAGAGAAAAGGAAGAGAGAAAAGGAAGAGAGAAAAGGAAGAGAGAAAAGGAAGAGAGAAAAGGAAGAGAGAAAAGGAAGAGAGAAAAGGAAGAGAGAAAAGGAAGAGAGAAAAGGAAGAGAGAAAAGGAAGAGAGAAAAGGAAGAGAGAAAAGGAAGAGAGAAAAGGAAGAGAGAAAAGGAAGAGAGAAAAGGAAGAGAGAAAAGGAAGAGAGAAAAGGAAGAGAGAAAAGGAAGAGAGAAAAGGAAGAGAGAAAAGGAAGAGAGAAAAGGAAGAGAGAAAAGGAAGAGAGAAAAGGAAGAGAGAAAAGGAAGAGAGAAAAGGAAGAGAGAAAAGGAAGAGAGAAAAGGAAGAGAGAAAAGGAAGAGAGAAAAGGAAGAGAGAAAAGGAAGAGAGAAAAGGAAGAGAGAAAAGGAAGAGAGAAAAGGAAGAGAGAAAAGGAAGAGAGAAAAGGAAGAGAGAAAAGGAAGAGAGAAAAGGAAGAGAGAAAAGGAAGAGAGAAAAGGAAGAGAGAAAAGGAAGAGAGAAAAGGAAGAGAGAAAAGGAAGAGAGAAAAGGAAGAGAGAAAAGGAAGAGAGAAAAGGAAGAGAGAAAAGGAAGAGAGAAAAGGAAGAGAGAAAAGGAAGAGAGAAAAGGAAGAGAGAAAAGGAAGAGAGAAAAGGAAGAGAGAAAAGGAAGAGAGAAAAGGAAGAGAGAAAAGGAAGAGAGAAAAGGAAGAGAGAAAAGGAAGAGAGAAAAGGAAGAGAGAAAAGGAAGAGAGAAAAGGAAGAGAGAAAAGGAAGAGAGAAAAGGAAGAGAGAAAAGGAAGAGAGAAAAGGAAGAGAGAAAAGGAAGAGAGAAAAGGAAGAGAGAAAAGGAAGAGAGAAAAGGAAGAGAGAAAAGGAAGAGAGAAAAGGAAGAGAGAAAAGGAAGAGAGAAAAGGAAGAGAGAAAAGGAAGAGAGAAAAGGAAGAGAGAAAAGGAAGAGAGAAAAGGAAGAGAGAAAAGGAAGAGAGAAAAGGAAGAGAGAAAAGGAAGAGAGAAAAGGAAGAGAGAAAAGGAAGAGAGAAAAGGAAGAGAGAAAAGGAAGAGAGAAAAGGAAGAGAGAAAAGGAAGAGAGAAAAGGAAGAGAGAAAAGGAAGAGAGAAAAGGAAGAGAGAAAAGGAAGAGAGAAAAGGAAGAGAGAAAAGGAAGAGAGAAAAGGAAGAGAGAAAAGGAAGAGAGAAAAGGAAGAGAGAAAAGGAAGAGAGAAAAGGAAGAGAGAAAAGGAAGAGAGAAAAGGAAGAGAGAAAAGGAAGAGAGAAAAGGAAGAGAGAAAAGGAAGAGAGAAAAGGAAGAGAGAAAAGGAAGAGAGAAAAGGAAGAGAGAAAAGGAAGAGAGAAAAGGAAGAGAGAAAAGGAAGAGAGAAAAGGAAGAGAGAAAAGGAAGAGAGAAAAGGAAGAGAGAAAAGGAAGAGAGAAAAGGAAGAGAGAAAAGGAAGAGAGAAAAGGAAGAGAGAAAAGGAAGAGAGAAAAGGAAGAGAGAAAAGGAAGAGAGAAAAGGAAGAGAGAAAAGGAAGAGAGAAAAGGAAGAGAGAAAAGGAAGAGAGAAAAGGAAGAGAGAAAAGGAAGAGAGAAAAGGAAGAGAGAAAAGGAAGAGAGAAAAGGAAGAGAGAAAAGGAAGAGAGAAAAGGAAGAGAGAAAAGGAAGAGAGAAAAGGAAGAGAGAAAAGGAAGAGAGAAAAGGAAGAGAGAAAAGGAAGAGAGAAAAGGAAGAGAGAAAAGGAAGAGAGAAAAGGAAGAGAGAAAAGGAAGAGAGAAAAGGAAGAGAGAAAAGGAAGAGAGAAAAGGAAGAGAGAAAAGGAAGAGAGAAAAGGAAGAGAGAAAAGGAAGAGAGAAAAGGAAGAGAGAAAAGGAAGAGAGAAAAGGAAGAGAGAAAAGGAAGAGAGAAAAGGAAGAGAGAAAAGGAAGAGAGAAAAGGAAGAGAGAAAAGGAAGAGAGAAAAGGAAGAGAGAAAAGGAAGAGAGAAAAGGAAGAGAGAAAAGGAAGAGAGAAAAGGAAGAGAGAAAAGGAAGAGAGAAAAGGAAGAGAGAAAAGGAAGGGAGAAGTAAAGGGAGACAGAAAGGATGAGGGAAAGGAAGGAAGAGGAAGAGGATAGGGGAGGGAAAGGGAACCAGAATGGCTGGGAAGGAGGAAGAGTGGAAAAAGTAAAGGCAAGAAAAATGGTATACTGTGTATTTTCCACTGCCTTTCCTCCATTTTTTAAAGGAAATCCCCAAATACGGCGTAGCACTATCTCAGCCAGAGTTCCAGCCCGGGAGCCCCCCCCCCGCCGCCTCCCGCCTCCCCCCGCCTGAATCTTCCCCCGCCTGGCTCATTCCCTTCCCTCCAACTGCATGAATTCGTCAGGCAGGCAGCGGCTCAATCGGGCCTCCGTCTGAAATGCGATCAAACGTCTCGCATTTATTCGCATGGCTTGACCTTCCTGTGCATGGCAAGCGATCTCTCTCTCTCGCGACCGTCACCCTTCTGTCGCTCCAGGTCCCTTGGAGTACTTCAAAGACACCTTTTTCCGGGAGTTTGTCTTCCGAGACAGTCAGCAATTGCACAGATTGGAGTCTGCAAGATAAAGTCCAGATTCCTCTTCCCTTGAAATCTCCCTTCAAGACTTTGCTCTTCCTTTTTTCCTCGAAATTCCGTCTAAATTCCGAAAACCAAATCCGACGTTTTTCTTCCAAAAAAATCCCACTCAGTTTTAATCTGGTTCACAAAGGAACATTCCACAATTGCCTAACAGCCGGCGTGCGGCTCCCCTGCCTAGCTTCTGCGGTCGATTTTCGTGGCTGTTACTGCTGATTGCACCCTTGTTTGGACTGGCGGAGCGCTCCCGCCGCCCGTGAAAGCGCGCCCGCGCCCTCAAAGCACCGAATTCCCAAAGGAAAATAAGTCTGTTTTATCTGCGCCGCCTCGTTTGCCTCGTGACGTAAGCTGTTGCCACTGGATCTCCATGCAGGCCATTTCCACCCGCGGTGCCGGGGTGATCTTTCCGTGCGGGTAATTTTGCTCTGTTTACAGCGTGTGTGCACCGGCTGTTAACGAGCTGTTTTTAACTTGTTTTTAACACTTGTTCTCGCGATGTCTGCCCCGCCTCCTCGCTCCACGTTGGCCCGCCGGTGGCTTCGTTTCTCTTCATTTACGCCTTTCCTTTTTCCCTTACTCCTTTTCCCCGCGTTTTCCCCATAATTCTTCCCAATGATATAAACAAGGGGTTCCGCGCCATGACTCAACGACTTGTAATATGCAGAGAGACGACATTATTCCTAATCTGCATACTCCCAATCCTAAATCTCCGCCGCCCCGACCTCCCATCGGTGCTGATTCACGCCTTGCATTCTGTTTACCGCCGGGACCTCGCTTCTTTCAGGGATGCAGAGCGCGGGCAATTGCGCGAGACTGACGTCGACTTCATCACTGTAATCACGAAGGAATCACCCGCCATTTCCCCGATAAAGTGTTGCCAGCCGAAGAGCAGCCGCGTTCAACAGCCCAGAGCTCAATACTTTTTAATCAGCTCAACCATCGACTCAGATTATCAAAACAAGAAGTTTATGAACTATTTTCGGATGTCTGAACACACGCATAATGCCACATATACGAAAGCAAGTAAGCAGTGATATGGTTAGCGAAATACGACTATTTTTCCCTTCGAAAACGCAAATTACGGATTCTCTATTTTGTCTTTCTCCAGTATGTCTCCTCCCCTTTCCCTCTGTCACCATACCCCTGCCCTCTCTTTCTCTGTCTCTCCCCTTATCGCCTCCTTCACGCTTCCCCTCTCTCAGTGCTTACCTCTCGTCCCGTCTCTTGCTCTCTTTTATTTCCTCTTTCCTATCTTCTTTCTTTCTGTCTCTGTCTCTGTGTCTCTCTGTCTCTCTCTCTCTGTCTCTCTGTCTCTCTGTCTCTCTGTCTCTCTGTCTCTCTGTCTCTCTCTCTCTCTCTCTCTCTCTCTCTCTCTCTCTCTCTCTCTCTCTCTCTCTGTCTGTTTGTCTGTCTCTCTCTCTCTCTCTCTGTGTCTCTCTCTCTCTCTCTGTGTGTCTCTCTCTCTCTCCCTCTCCCCCCCTCTCTCTCCCTCTGTCTCTCTCTTTCTGTCTGTCTGTCTGTCTGTCTGTCTGTCTGTCTGTCTGTTTGTCTCTGTCTCTCTCTGTCTCTCTCTGTCTCTCTCTGTCTCTCTCTGTCTCTCTCTCTGTCTCTCTCTCTCTCTCTCTCTCTCTCTCTCTCTCTCTCTCTGTCTCTCTCTCTCTCTCCCCGTCATTCCCACTCTCCCATTTTCCCTCTCCCCCTCTCCTTCCCCCTCCCCCTCCCCTCCAACGTTCAGCAAAAGCCTCCCCGCCCCCACACCAGGGAAGCGTCGCGACTCCGTGGGCGGCGCTCATTCAAGCCGCGACCTCGCCACTCGACATCTCCCGCCGTTGGGAAGTGGGATTAACGGAAGGAAAGGAGAATGAGGAGGAGGCCGAGGGATTTCTTGAGGGATTCATGAGTCGCAAAGAGTAAGGGGTCATGCATGTGTTTCCTCACTTTCACAAGCAGACAAACAGGGGGTAGAATGCACAGAGCAAAACAAAACACACACAAAAACAAAATGATAACCTCTTGACACCGGCTCTATTACACCGGCTCTATTACATCCGGATCATCATTTCTCTGATGTTCTACAAAGCGTACGCCAGGGATTACCGCCCCCTCCCCCTTCAGCGTACGCTTTGTAACGCTCATGGAAATGATGAAAACAATGGATGCCCCTAAGACGCCTGGGGGGATCGTGACGAGTAAGTAGCACAGGAATAACAGAAAAGAACAAGATGATAGACGTTTTAATGAATATATTAATCGCAAAGAGTAAGACGCGCAAGAAGAAATGAAGAGAGAAGGAGGATAAATTTATTAATGAATCTATCATATAGCAGAGAGGAAAAAAAATAGAGAAATAGGAGAGAAGAATGACCATTTTATCAATGTTCAAAACCTGGAAGCCATATGTGTACATCACCTAAGGATTCTGGGTCCATATCAGGGCGTTCTATTTAAGGTTTCTCTGTATCTATATGTTGTACAAATCTTTTTTTTTTCTTTTACTCTTCCTCTTAATCCCATTCTCCTTTGCCCCCCCCCCCCCCCTCTCTCTCTCTCTCTCTCTCTCTCTCTCTCTCTCTCTCTCTCTCTCTCTCTCTCTCTCTCTCTCTCTCTCTCTCTCTCTCTCTCGCTCTCTCGCTCTCTCGCTCTCTCGCTCTCTCGCTCTCTCGCTCTCTCGCTCTCTCGCTCTCTCGCTCTCTCGCTCTCTCTCTAATTCACTCATTTATCACCCACTTACCCACCTACCAAAATCCACCAACTACTCACCTCCTCAACAACATCAAATTGTTTATCAAAGTTGTGAAAAGTTGCCATGACGGAGAATTAATGATTATCGTATGATCGCTTCCGATTTCCCGCAACAGCCTTGGCGAACGAGTGTGAGGGAGGGAGGGAGGGAGGGAGGGAGGGGAGAGGGAGGGGGAGGGGGAGGGGGAGGGAGAGGGAGAGGGAGAGGGAGAGAGGGAGGGGGAGGGAGAGGGAGAGGAAGAGGAAGAGGGAGAGGAAGAGGGAGAGGGAGAGGGAGGGAGAGGGAGGGAGGGAGGGGGAGGGAGAGGGAGAGGAAGAGGGAGAGGGAGAGGGAGAGGAAGAGGGAGAGGGAGAGAGAGAGAGAAAGAGAGAGAGAGAGAGTTAGAGAGAGGGAAGGAGGGAGGGAGAGAGAGAGAGAGAGAGAGAGAGAGAGAGAGAGAGAGAGAGAGAGAGAGAGAGAGAGAGAGAGAGAGAGAGAGAGAGAGAGAGAGAGAGAGAGAAAGAGAGAAAGAGAGAGAGAGAGAAGAGGCGGGAAGGGGAAGAGAAAGGGACAAGAAAAGGAGAATGAGAGGAGCAAGGGGAAACTGCAACAAGCGAGAGACAAACAGGCACGACCGCTCCACCTCTGGCGTCAAATCTAACGCGCGATACCTAAGTATAAACTTGAGCAAGTCCATTTAAATATTTACATACGCTTATCTTCTGACGTTGGAAGCCGAGGCCAAAGTATCAACAGCGTGGCTTCATTTCTCGATAAGAAGCGCAGAGCCAGGCATACAATGACGTAAACATGAGGAAAATATGAGGGATGGAGGGAGAGGAGAGGGAGATATAGGGGGAGTATGGGGAAGGACAGAAGGAGAGAGAGAATGAGAAACAGAAAGAGGGAGACAGAGCCAAAGGGGAAGAGAGAGCGGGGGAAAGAGGAAAGGGAGATAGGCAGGGGAGGGAGGGAGGGAGGGAGGGAGGGAGGGAGGGAGGGAGGGAGGGAAGGAGGAAGGGAGGAAGGAAGGGAAAGGGAGAGGGAGAGAGAAATAGACTGAGAGGGATAAGAGGGAGATGAAAAGAGAGGGGGCGAGGAGGAGAGGGAAAAGAGGTACATGTGAGGAGATCTGGCGATGAGGGTCAATAGACTGCGAATGAAAGATTAATAATAGGAGAGGCAAAGGCACGTCGCCATGAGGAAGCAGGATGCGACGGAGGCGAGGAAGGACCCCCCCCCCCCCGCCTTAGGAGTCGAGGAAGCCGTCCCCGGCGACCCAGAAACGGCTTGGAGTGAGTCCAGAAAAGTATTCCCCTTCCGGCGGTCTCTTCCTCGACGTCAGCGCCGGGAAGGTTGCTCCGCACCCCTTCAGGATCGGGCGGCCGCCTTCCACAGGTGAGACTGGCTCTGGCGCCGCACCTTCAGAGGCGACGAGTGGAGGGGAGCCCTGGGGCATCCCGCCGGAACCCCCAGCGGGATGCCCCTCGCCGCGGGAAAATAGGTCAGCGCCGACCGGGACAATGTCGCGGGTGCGCGCGTAACCCCGCGTGCCCTCGCAGGAACGGACACACGTCGGCCGCTCTCTGCATTATTCATGTCTGCGCTCGACACGACTTTGTCCGGGCGTCTTGCTATCGACCTCGGAGAACGGCCAAGGCCTTCCCACTCTCGCTCGCCCTCCACCCACAAACTTTCCCCAGAGAAGTGTAAATAAGAATGATGGCGCAGGCGGGACTCTCTAAGCAGATTTATCGTCCTCCGCGTCACTCTCCCCACACATCCACGGATCCACAGATTTTTTTCTTGCAAATGTTGACCTAAAGAAGTCCGCCCAGCAGCACGCTTAAAAGAACATGCAGTATTTTTCGCGCAAGACCTGCCATTATCATTAACAAGGAAACAAGATGTTGCCGTAGAGTTCGGGCACCTCGAGAGGTTGATACGCGCCGCCGTTGCGGGGCTGACGGCGGCCGAAGGGCACGAGGCAACTCCATCTGCATAAATGTATACATACATACAAACGCGCACATGCCCG